ATGTTTCTGAGGAGTGACTGGTAGGTTTGAAGCAGCGACCTTGCAGTTCACAAACTGACATTGCAGTCCAGTGCTTATATTATAGCATCAACACCAGGACTCCAATTAAAACTCCTAAGACATGCAAATTGTTATGCTGTTGTTACATGCTGTGGAGCTGGTTCCTGCTCATAGTGACCCTAAATAGGATTTCTGTGGAGCAGCTGGTGGGTCTGAACTACTGACCTTGTGGTTAGTAGTCAAATGCTTATCCTGTAGTACCACACCAGGATTCTAAATTGTAGTGTAGGTAATTATTATATTGTTATGTTTTATTGAAACCACTTTAAATCTGTATGTAAAATTAGTTTAAAATGTTTCATTAAGAAAAGTTTCTTCAAACAATTTTCCTACTGTGTATGATGAAGTCTAATCCTTGAGGACCTACTACGTGCTTGGGCACTTGTGTTGAAAACATATTTTATTTTACTTTCTCTTGACAACTTATTCCTTGTGAAATAAGGTACAATTACTCCCATGTTATAGATGAGGGGGTCTTGGATAAGCACTCAGTATCTGTATGCCTGCATGAGGATCCTGGCCTTCTGCTTCCAGATTTTGGAAGTAGGCCCACCTCCCTAGGTCATGGCCAGGTACAAGGAAGTTGTCGACTCACTGACTTTCCTAACTATTAGTAGGTTAACAGGCACTCCTGTTTTACTTTCCTGCTCAAAAAATGAAAACAAATAAACTGAGGAGAAATGTATTAAGATTGCCTTTTGCACAGGAAACATGAAAGAAGAAAAGAAATCTTAGTTAAGGAAGAAAGTAACTTAAAGCTTCACTAATAACTGCTTTGACTTTTGAGCTCTGTGATAAAAGCAGTATTTATAGAGCTAGGAAGAACAAATCAAGAACACATCAGGAAGGCTACTTTGCTGTCTATAGACAAATTCCTCCTGAAAAGTTTGGGAACAAATGCAAAGCCTTCAAGAAAGTAAAAAGAAAACTCCTAGAATGGGCAAAAATACCTGCAAATCATCTATCTGACAAGGGACTTGTATCCAGAATAAATAAAGAACTTTTACAAATCAACAAAAAGAAAAATACCTCAACTGAAGACTCACTATGTGTCGGAATCAACTCGATGGCACGTAACAGCAACAACAATGTTACACTGGAGGGACCATAATCAATGAGAAGAAACAAAATGTGTATCATTGTTGAAAGTAAAACTGATGATCTGTTCTGCAAACCTTCACCCATTCACAATAAAAAGTTAAAAAAAAAAAAAAAAAAAGAATGTCCCTGGGACCATCAAGTGAGAAGAGCGGAGAGCAGGACCCTACCCAGAGAAGGAGTGACGCCAGGGATGGACACAGAGATGATGATGTGGACAGATGGAGTGGCTGGGGACCCAGGACTCAGGGAGGGAGATGGGCTGTGTGTTGGCAGCTGGAAGGGGGGGGAGGTGTGGGCCTGTGTGGTGTACCCTTTGGGGTTATTTGATGATGCATGGAGGGGAATGTAATCTTTGTAATGAAATGAAATACGATGAGTGTAAAGCTGATGTTCTCCCATGTAAACCTCACAATAAAAACTTAAAAAAAAAAAAAAAAGTTAAAAAAAAATGAGCAAAGAAAAAACAAGGCAAAGGATTTGAATAGACATTTCTCTAAAGACAGATGGCCAACAAGCATATGCAAAGACGTTCAAAGTCATCAGGGGCATAGAAATCAAAACCACAATGAGATAATTTCACATGCACTAACCCATCCAATGCCAACAAGTCGATTCTGATTCATAGCAACCCTGTATAGGGTTTCTGAGGCTTTAAATGTTTATGAGAGCAGAAAGTCTCCTCCTCCTCCTCCTGTGGAACAGCTGGTGGGTTTGAATCACTAACATTGTGGTTAACAGTCTAATGCTTATCCTACATTGCTACTAGGGCTCCTTCTTACCCACTGTTGTTGTTGGTGTTATGTGCCATGGAGTCGGTTCCGACTCATAGAGACCCTGTACAGGGTTTTCAAGGCTGTAAATCTTTACGGGAGCAGAAAGCCTCCTCTTCCTACCGTGGAACAGCTGGTAGCTTCGAATTGCTGACTCTGAGGTTAACAGCCCAATTCATAACCACTACGCTACCAGAGTAGAATAGTTAAAATAAAAAATACATTAACAAGTGAGATGTGAAGAAATTGGAACTCCTGTACATACTGGTGGGGATATGAAATGGGGCAGCAACTTTGGCAAACAGGCTGGGGGTTTCTCAAAATGTAAAACATAGATTTACCATATGACCCAGCAATTCTACTGCTAAATATATAACCAAGATAATGAAAGCATAGATCTATGTAAAAATTTGTATGTGGATATTTACCGCAGCATTATTCATAATAGCACAAAGTATAAACAGACCAAATGTCCATCTATTGATAAATGGCTAAATAAAATATGATGTAGCTATACAATGTTAATATTATTTAGCAATAAAAAAATAAGAAGAAATTCTGATATATGTTATATCATCAATGAACCTTGCAAACATTGCATTAAGTGAAATAAGCCAATTGTAAAAAATTATACACTGCATGGTTCCATTTATGTGAAATATCCGCCACAGGCAAATTTAATTTGTACAGGGTTCCTTTTAGGAGGTGTTGAAGGTGTTCCAAAATTAAATTGCGATGAAGGCTGAACAACTCTGGATGTATCGAAAACCAATGCACTGTATACTTTAAATAGGCCAATAGAAATACATCTCAATAACACTGTAAAGGAAGCCTGGTAGAGCACTATAGGATGAGCACTGGACTGTTAACTACAAGGTCAGCACTTCACACCCACCAGCTGCTCCTTGGAAACCCTATACAGGGTCACTATGAGTCAAGACCAATTCAACAGCACTTAACAGCAACAGCTGTAAAAGTTAAAAATACAATAAAATAAACGGCACCATAGCTTTAACAGTACCTGAAGCCCTAAATAAAGTATTATTAAGTGAAATTATAAAGAAATGAAAAGCTTTTCTTGCAAAGGTAAAGCTAAGTCTGAGGATAAATGCAAAGGGAGGTCCAGGGATATTTGAAACATCAACAATGGAAGGAAATGAAACGTTTTGGAGACTTATCAGTAGCTATGAATTACTCATTTGGCTTTATAATTCAGATATAATTTGAAAACAAAAAAGACTCTTTACTCTATAACCTCACTTGCTTAAGCCCCAGAAGTTTATTCTATAACCTCACTTGCTTAAGTCCCAGAAGTCTCACAGTATATGAAAGAATGTGATTACATAAAAAGAAAAATGGGAGGAAGAAAAGTACTGTGTTGTACACAGGCATTAACTGCTTTAACATACTGCTAAAATAAAATCTTTTATTACAGTTAGAAGAAAAATTATTATTATGGCTAGAGGGATTTGGGGAAATGAGGAGTGAATGCTAATGGGTACAGGGTTTATTTTGGGAGTGATGAAATGCTCTCAAATTGATTGTGATGACGGTTGCACAACTTGGCAAACATGTAAAAACCACTGAACTATACGCTTTAAGTTGTGAATCATTTCTATAAAGCTGTTAATAAAAACTGAAAATGATTTAAATTTAGCTGCTTTAATATAGACTTTTATTTCCAGCTAAACAATAGAAAGAATCTTAAGAATCTCAATGAAATGTTCCCAAGTTCAGTTCTGTCTTGGCATTTTCTGCAATTTTCAAAATTATTATTGGAAACTAAATAATTCCATTAAAGTGGATTCCAACAACCAAAAGCAGGAAATTACAAGCAAACAGTACATATAAAGCTGGTATGAGCAATTTCTAGCAATCTACAGAAAAAAGTATACAGAAATGAAGCATAACCACAAAATTGAAACAAGAAGTCACATTCTACCTTTCTGCTAATTTCTGACCATCCTTGAAAAAAATAACTATTCTAGTTCAGCTGCTTTTAAAATTTCTTTTGACTATAAAAATATTTATTTCACATTATGTGCTAGTATACATATGAGTATATATAACTGAAACGAAAATTGGTGGCACTGTAGAATAAGCACTGGACTGCTCACCACTAGGTTAGCAGTTCATATCCACTAGCCACTCAGGAGGAGAAAGATGAGATGTTCTGTTCCTATAGAGATTTACAGCCTTGGTAACCCCATACAGGGTCTTGATGAGTCAGAATCGACTCAATGGCAGTGAGTTTTGTTTTACCTGTAATATACCCTAGTATTTTCTACCATAGGGGAAAAATGTTATTTGCTGCTAAATTGATTTCACAGCCCACTAATAGATTTGAAAGCTGGTACTTTGAAAAGCACTACTGTATTCTAAGTATAGGAAAGTTTTTGCTTATGCAGGTGGCTGGGATATCTGGCACATATAGCACAGTGGTGACACAGAGTAGGGACTCAAATGGAATTAGTTGGGACCAGAAAAAGCATTAGTTTTATAGGCTTACAATAAGAGAGAAACAGCTGAAAGCAAACGAACAAAGTTCTATTACTAGGAGCCATTCAAGAAACTACCATACAAACGGACTTCAAAAAGTTTATAGAACAATGAAATTAAAGGTAATGCACAGACTTTTTCAAGTCCCCTTGTACCAAGTTGTACTGTAATGGCATCTCTGTATTTCCTATGGGGACTGCTATTAAAATCCAAAATTATAAAGATCAGCAACATAGTGGGGTAAGTACAATTTGTAGATAGTCTTTAAACTTTATTTTACTGAATTGTTTTACTCCTTTATTATTTTTCAGATATGCACAACTGGTTTGAATTCTGTTCTTTATTTCCATTGCTTACTCTTTAGTGGACAGGCCAGATGCAAAGGAAAACAGATGCAGTTATTAGAAACAAAGAAGAAATAACCTGTCTCAAAGAAGAGCAGTATCTTTTCATTTATACCAGCTACACTTTTTTATAAAAACATTTACTTAAATGTCTACTTTTAAATGTCACATGTGGTTCCTAGGTTAGAATATTAAATTCAAAATCAATATATCAAATGTAACTTACTTTTGTAGTGGTTTCTGGCTTTGAGCCATAAACAACTCCTTCCTAAAGAAGTAATTAATCTTCTAAGAAAGGAAAAATCAATGGGGATGCTCTTTGAAATCATGAATTCTGTTACAGAGGAAGACATGCCAAGACTGTTGCTTTCTATACAGGCATCTAGAAGCTTATTGAAAAGAAGACTATACTGTGAGACATCCACAGTTTCTGAAATGAAAACAAACAAACATTTATGACCAAATTGATCTAGTTTTATTTCTCACAGTTTTATCTCTTGAACTGTTTTCCTTTTCCCTCTTCTCTCCTTGGCTCTTTCCTACAAACTATGTGAGCGTCAGTCACTGAAATGCAACCATTTTACATATTTTCTAAATAACAAACAAAAAAAGCATTCAACAAAAGGAGAAGCTGACTTACCTTATAATGGAGTACAGGAAAGGAAGCTTGAAAATGATTTCAAAGGCTACATTACTCTCTGGACATAGGCCTTGTCTGTGACTGCAGTGTCACCATTCCTTTGGCATGTTTTCTGATTTGGATCTCAGCATTATATTCCACAAAACTAAATACAAATTTCGTCCTAATAAATACTCATAAAAATTAAAGCAAACTCTAAAAAATACTTTTTAAGTTGGTGTTTCTGCTTTTTGAGTCATTCTTGAAGAAAATGAGTCACTTTGGATACTTCCAACTCCTTTATTTTCTATATTCAGTCAGTTTGGTCTAGGACCTAGACTCTAGGTTTTTATCACTCTAGATCTTTTAGTGGTCCAGACCCAATCATGAGATTCATCTCTTACAGTCTCTTTTTAAACTAGTGGTAACTAGAGGAACTTTTCCAAAACATGAACTTTATACAGAGTACATCACTCCATAATTCCAAACCTCTACTTACTTTTAGGACTTCTGATGTGGTGATATAAGATTAGCACTGGACTGCGAACCACAAGGTCGGCAGTTCAAACCCACCAGCACTCCTTGGAAACCTTATAAAGGGTCACCTATGAGTCGGAAATTAATTCAATGGCACTTAACAAGTTACCTTTTACTACACATAGAAAAAATCTCCTTCATGGACTTCCAAAATTATACACAACTAAGGAGCTCTGGTAGCGTAGTGGTTACGAATCAGGCTGCGAACCTTAAGGTCAGCGGTTCGAAACTACCAGCTGCTCCGCGGGAGAAAGATGAGGCTTTCTATTCCTGTAAAGATTTACACCCTCGGAAACCCTGTATAGGGTCGCTATGGGTCGGAACCGACTCGACGGCACTTAACAACAACAACATCTGTCTACTGGAGTGGCACTGTGGTTAATGTGCCAGACTGCAAACCCATTTGAACTGCAAGGTTAGCAGTTCAAGTTCACCAGTCACTCCTCGGAAACTCTGTATATAGGGTCACTATGGGTCGGATCTGACTCGACGGCACTTAACAACAACAACATCTGTCTACTGGATACCTGGTGTGGCGCTGTGGGTTAATGTGTTGGACTACAAAGTCAGTTTGAAATGCAAGGTCGGTGGTTCAAGCTCACCAGATGCTCCTTGGAAACCCTTTACAGGGTTGCTCTGAGTTGGAACTAACTTGATGGCACTGAACAACAACATCTGTCTACTATCACTATTAATAGTATTTTGTTTCACTGTCATCATAATTGTGTATTAAGGGCCTTGGCTCCCATAAAGATCTGTAGCCTTGGAAACCCTGTGCAGGGTCACTATGAGTTGGAACGGACTCCACGGTATTTAACAACAGCAACTGCATATATATGGAGTCCTGGTGTGGCGCTGTGGGCTAATGAGTCAGACCACAAAGTCATTTGAACTGCAAGGTCAGTGGTTCAAGCTCACCAGTTGCTCCTTGGAAATCCTATACAGAGTTGCTATGGGTCGGAATCGACTTGATGGCACTTAACAACAACAATTGTATATATGCACTGGACCAATAAACATTCTTATCAACAGAGAAAAGATTGAAGTTGTCAAGGACTTCATTCTTCTTGGATCAACCATCAACATTCATGGAAACAGCAGTTAAGAAATCAAATGACGTATTATATTAGGCAAATCTATGCAAGACCTTTTTCAAGTGTTGAAGAGCAAAGATGTCAGCTTGAGGACTAAGGTGCGCCTGATCCAAGCCATGGTATTTTTCAATAACCTCATATGCATGCGAAAGTTGGACAGTGAATAAGGAAGACTGTAGAAGAATTGATATTTTTGAGTTATGGTGTTGGAGGAGAATATTGAAAGTGCCATGGGATGCCAAAAGAACCAATAGATCTGTGTTGGAAGAAGTGCAGCCAGAGTGCTCACTGGAGGCCAGGATGGCCAAACTTCGTCTCTCATATTTCGGACATATTGTCAGGAAGGACCAGTTGCTGGAGAAGGGTATCATGTTTGGTGAGGTGGAGGGTCAGGAAAAAAAGAGGAAGACCCCCAGTGAGATGGATTGGCAAAGTGGCAGCATCAGTGGGCTCAAGTGTGGTAACAATTATGAGGTTGGCCCAGGATCCGGCAGTGTTTCATTCTGTTGTGCATAGGGTCGCCATGAGTTGGTACTGATTTAATGGCACCTCACAACAACAATATTGTATATTAAGGGCCTTCAAAGAAGCTCTTACAGAGTTCTGGTAGCATAGTGGTTACAAATTGAGCTGTTAACCTCGAGGTTAGCAGTTTAAAACTACCAGCTGTTTCACGAGAGAAAGATGAGGCTTTTTACTCCTGTAAAGATTTATAGCCTCAGAAACCCTATGCTGGGTTGCTATGAGTCGGAATCGACTCCATGGCACATAACACCACCACTATAAAGCAACCGTTGTGCTGGGGATACCAAGGTAACCAAGAAAACATCCCTCCCTTTAAGGAGCTCATTATCTAGAGGGAGAAACAGACAAAAATAATATGTATAGTACAAGGTCTTAGTGAAAGAATCAATGGAAAATTGATTATTTATAAAAGATATAACAAAAGCACCAAGGAGAGACTTTCAAAATAGGTTTTCATCATTCTCTGAATTCATCATACACATTCCTGACCCAAGCTTTTTACTTACACTTCCCTTGCCCTGCATTCTCTTTTGCTTTCCATACATGACTGAATCTTGGCCTTCAAGAACATTACTACTATTGCTCAAACTGGTATTTTTCTTCTCAGAACTTGTCATCTATTTAATTTCCTCATTTGTTCCATGTGATCCTATTTTCCAAGGTAAAATAAACTAAGTTCTATATTTTAATGCTATCTATATTTAAGTGATAAAGAAAAAGTGTTCTTTATCAGTGAAGATAGGAAGTTTGCTGGGGGCACATAGGCATAATGCTTGCTAATGACAGGTAGAGAAAAAGGATTGAGGCAAAGGCTAATGTTAGAAACTACTAACATACAACCCAAAGATAAACAATGCTTTTTTTAAAAAATATTTTTCAATACCATCAATAAAGCATATTCAATCTGCAGAGAACACATTTTATGGAGAACCACTAAACAAGAAAAAATGCTGGAATAGGAAATTCAACCAAAACAGGTGGAGAACTGTTTCTTATTAACAGTTAAATACCAAATGGACAAGAGATAATTAAGCTATACTTTTTTGAAACATACCTTGAGAATCTTGAAAACCTGGTAGATTTTTCAAAACTTCAAATGTCTCTCCATAAAGGCTCTTGGCTAAGGCCTCATGTGCAATTGTGCAGAGCAGATTATGTCGACTGAGCACATCCAGTCTGTCACAAGGCCAGAGTGGGTTACTGATGATCCAATCTGACTCTTTCAAGAAAAAAGTATGAATGTTATATGCCATCAAAACTACATTTAATCATAACTTAGTGTTTAAAAATATTTCTTCGAGAAGGTGGCAAAACTTAAATATGTATACTCAGAGAACATAACCATGATTCACAATTAATCAAAATAGACCATCATCCTAAAAATATGTAAATTAATAGCCACTGTTATACTTACGTTTCTATTAAATTCTTTATCTTTCCAAGTGCACTAGTCAGTCATAAATTTTTATTTGAGCATGTATAAGACATACTTAATATCTATTTTAAATGAATATTTGTTTTAACTTAAAAGTATTATTGGTGTGGACAGTTCAATAATTTCACAATTAAAAATATATCACTTGTTTTAGTACTTTTAGGTAACGCTTACCCTCCTCCGATTCCAGCCTACTTTTAGAACAATTTTTATTATGAAATTCCTGATAGCTAAGTTATAAATACATAATGAACTCTTAGGTACCACCATCAGCTTTAAATATAATATTAACTTTACTGAAGTATCTTAATTTCTGCTCTGATTTTCACACTGAGAAAAACAAAGGACTACTAATATACAGAAAAACACCAGATTGCTAAAATGTTAAGAGCAATATTCTATAATTTTTCTAATTCACTCAATCATTACATACATAATGAAACACTGCTATATAGCACTGAAATTGTGTGTTACAGTGTTCTTTTCCAACCAGACTGAGTGCAGAAGTCATGTTATCCTTTTTTTGTGTTTGTGGTGTGAAAAAAGATTTGATCATTCAAGTCAACAATGCCAAAATAAGTCTTTAAGCACACAGTAAAAAGCTGTTTAAGATAGGGGCTTGTTTTCACATCAGCAGAACACACTCGCTTGATTGATCACACTTAGAATGGGTAGGCAATGTTCTAAGTCCTTTACAAATATTTAGTCTAGACATGTATCGTCAGTAACCTTTTAAATTTGTTTAAATTTTAGAGATATGTAAATACACTTCATGAAGTCCTGGTGAAGTGCTGTAGGATAAGCACTTGACTGTTAACAATTAGTTTGGCAGTTCAAGTCTACCAGCCGCTCCTTGGAAACTCTATAAAGGGTCGCTATGAGGCCATAGCTCTGGTAGCGTAGTGGTTATGAATCGGGCTGTGAACCACAAGGTCAGCAGTTCGAAACTACCAGCTGTTCCACGGGAGAAAGATGAGGCTTTCTGCTCCTGTAAAGATTTATGGCCTCGGAAATCCTGTACAGGGTCGCTATGAGTCGGAACCGACTCCATGGCACATGACAACAACAACATGAGGCCAGAACCAACTAGACAGCACTTAACAACAATAACAAATATACTTCATGTATTTTGTCTAAAAATCTCAGTCAGAATGCAAGCAAATTTTCTCTGACCTTCCAACATATACATATTCACTCATTACCTTGGCAAAATTATGAGCGTAGGCATGGAATACAGAGACTATTAACACAGTCTGCACTAAAGAAATTCCCAGGCTGGTAAGCAAAATCATTAAATAACTTTGCCTTATCAAAGTGAATAAGGAGCCCTGGTGGTATAGTGGTTACATGTTAGAATGCTAACCACAAGGTCAGAAGTTCGAATCCACCTGCTGCTCCTTTGGGAGAAAAGATGAGGTTTGCTGCTTTACAGCCTCAGAAACCCTATACAGGGTAGCATGCAACTACCACCACAGTGAATACTATGAGGAAAGAACACCTAAAGATATTAGCAATCCCCTTAAGGTACACATTTAATATTATCCCATTCAAATTTCCTATGAATGGTATTAAAATCTGATTCAATAATTATGAAATTCATCCAAGAGTCAGTACTTGAAAATAGCAAAAAAGTTTGGAAAAAGAGTGAACATGGTATTGTCTGAAAAGATAGATCTCACACATTTGAAAGTTACATTAACTAAGGCACAGTGCTAGCACCAACAAAAAGAAATCACTGAGAGAAAACAAAATGGCAGAAACACACCCGGACAGATCTAAGATTCTAATATATGATAAAAGTAGCATTTAAAGTAAGTGGATAAGAGATGACTTATGTAGTAAATGTTGGGTCATTTGGGGGGAATAAATAATATTAAGTTCTTATCTCACAGCAAAATTTAAAGCTAACAATGAATGAAAAATTTGAAGAATATACAGGCAAATGTTTAGTTCTGGGATGATGGACTGTTTAAAGCATGATACAAAACAAAATTAGAGATTTAAAGTGTTTTGTGTTGAACATAAAAAAATGTCAGTAAGGCAAAAAGAGAAAAACAGAAACTCAAAGTTACAGGGAAATAAAAAGTTGAGAAAAATATTTGTAAATATACAATAGATCATTTGTAAATATACAATAGATCAAGGACTACAAACATATTGTCTTTCATACATAAAACTATTACAAATAAATTGTGTGGTGCTGTGGGATAAAGCATTGGACTGCAAGGTCAGTTTGAACCACAAGGTTGGCAGTTCAAATCCACCAGCGCTCTTTGGAAACCCTATACAGGGTTGCTATGAATTTGAATCAACTCATGACACTTAACAAATAGTATATAAGAGGGCATTATAATACAGTGTGATGCTTCCTAAGTGTACACATTGATGGTACTTGAACTGATTTTATTCTTACATTAAAATATCAATAGTGACTTGTGTATTATATAAAAATATAAAGATTACAAATATAAAAAAATCACATTATAACTATGATTTTACAGATATTATTGCTTAGGATGAGGCTAAGTAGACTGATTTACTTTTAAGATTATACACACACACACAGATATATTTAAGAATATGTTCACTATAAAAAAATTCACGCAAAACAGTAAAGTATCTAAAAAAAAAGAACCTAAACAACTAAGTCTAGAGAGGTCCTGGTGTGGTGCTATAGGATAAATATTGGACTGCTAACTGCAGGTTGATGGCTCAAATTCACCAGCTGCTTCTTAGAAACCTTACACGTGATCGCTATGAGTCTGAACCAACTTAACATGTCTAGATAAAGATATGTAAGTGAAACTATTGTATTAAGAAAGAGATTAAGTATAGGTTAGCTTAACACAACTTTGTGCTGTGGAGATCCACCATGTGACTGAAAATGAATAATTTTTCTTAAATATTAACACTTTTTATGTTTTTATTAGTACTACTGCTGTCACAGCCAATGGTCTGGGTATTTTAACCTTTGTGTGAAATTTCCTAGTATAAAGGAGTTAACACTTTATTTTTTAAAGTCACACACACACACACACACACACACAGACTCTTGTCATTTCTTCTCCAAGAAGGTGCAGACAGCTAAATGAAGAAAACCAATAGTGTCAATGAGGTTCGTTATCATTCTTCTGTTCATTTGCTTGCTTATTCACTCACCTATTTAAATGCATATTTATTGAACACTTACTTTGTGCTAGGTATCGCCACAGGTGAAATATTCTCAACTTTAAAAATGAAAATACAAATGGTACTGGGGAGTTACTACTACAGTGGGAATGGTTTAAGGAATTAGATGAGGTGTTAATTATAATTACTCAAGAAAGCTGTAAGGCAGTAGTCCTCAGAGTGAGGTCCCTAGAACAGTTAATGCCAACAATATATGAGGACTTGTTAGAAATGTGTTTTCTCGGGCCCAACCCGACTTACTGCAGCAAAAATGTTGAGAGTGGGTCCCAAACTAGTTGTCTTCAAGTAGATTCCTACTCACAGCAACACCTTATGTGTGTCAGAGTAGAACTGTACTCCACAGGGTTTTCAATGACTGATTTTTCAGAAGTAGAGAGCCAGGTGTTTTCCTGAGGCGATTCAGAAATTGCCACTGTGTCATTCCATCTCGTTGGGTGGGGTTCTTCCTCCTATTCTCTGACCCTTCACTTTACCAAACATGATAATATCCTTCTCCAGGGACTGCTCCCTCCTTCTGATAGTAAGTCTGCATTATGAGATGAAGTTTGGCCATCCTGGCTTCCAAGGGGCACTCCGGCTATACTTCCTCCAATACAGATCTGTTTGTTCTTTTGGCAGTCGTCCATGGTACTTTTAATATTCTCCAACTCTACAACTCAAATCCATCAACTCGTCTATGTTCTTCCTTATTCACTGTCAAACTTTCACATGTGTATGAGGTTATTGAAAATATGATGGCTTGGGTCACGTGCACCTTAGTCCTCAAACTGACATTTTTGCTCTTCACAACTTTAAAGAGGTCTTGTATATCAGATTTGCCTAATGTAATACATTATTTGATTTCTGGACTGCTGTTTCCATGTGTGTTGATGGTTGATCTGAGCAAAATGAGGTCTTTGACTTCAATCTTTTCTCCATTTATATGGATGCTGTTTATTGGTCTGGTGGTGAGGATTTTTGTTTTCTTTACATTGAGATAGCAAGCCATACTGAAAGCTGTGGTCTTTGATCTTCATCAGTATTTTAAGTCTTATTCACTTTCAGTAAAAAGATTGTATCATCTGCATTTCCAATCCTGACGCCACGCTTTTCTTCATATATAAATCAGCTTCTTGGTTTTTATCTACCTTTTCAAATTTCTCTAAAATGAGTATGCATTACTTACATATATCAATAAAACTTAAATTCAATGAATGTTGATTAACAAATGGCATGACTTTTTTTTTTTTT